CATGATAGGAATAAAGGTCACATGCCGAGGGTCTAGCCGGAAAACCAAGTAATCCAAAACTGTGCAAACTAGTTATGGTGGAGCAATCATAAGTTATGAAGGTGATGGTGTGAAAACAGGACAGTAAAGATTTTACAACTACAGAACACTATGCTGGGGTTACATGTAGCACAACATGAACCGAAGATCACGGTTGAGGCAGTCTTGTTGGGGACAGAACTTGGCTGTCATTTTCCATTCAGTGATTCTGCATTGTGTATCTCGAAGGCCACCTTGGAGGACACTTACGTGAAGATTGGAGGTTGAATGTCCTTGATCGCTGAAGTGTTCCCTGACTGAGAGGGAACGTTTCTGTCTGGCGATTGTTGCACGGTGTCCATTCGTCTGTTGTCGTAGCGTCTGCATGGTCTTGCTAGTACACCATGCTTTGGGATATCTTTTCCTGCAGTTTGTGGTAAGCAACATTGGCAAGTCATGTGAGCATCTGCCATGTACGTGGTGGGGGATGTTACCACTTGTGATGTTAGTATCCATTTCAATGATCTTGCAGAAGTTGCAGTGGCAGTGTTGTGGTTGATGTTGTCCTGATGGCTGGGTAGTTTGCTGCGATTGATGGTCTATTTAAGGTTTGTCAGTTGTTGGAAGGAGAGATTTGCAGGCATAGGGATGATCTTGACAAGATGTTTGTCGTCGTTGACATTGAAGGCTGCGAAGAACAAGGTGTAGTTTCTCTGCTCCGGGGAAATACTGGACGACGAGGGGTACTCTATTGGTCGTGTCTTGTGTCTGTCTTCTGAGGAGGTTGTTGTGGTTTTTCGCTGTGTAACAACGTTAGGTGAGCATGTTTTAATTCCTCACAAATTAGACCTTTTCCAAGTGTGAACTCTCTCCTCTTCACCTTCCTTGCCTCACCTTGCGCCTCCAAATCCCAACAATCTCTTTCAACCTCAATTGTAACAATTTATGTAGTGTTTTTCATAATCCCTGGAAATCTTAAGCTATTTTACAGCCAAAGAAATGGTTGAAGCGTAGTCCGTGTAGAAATAAGGGCATGTAACAAAGTCAGTACCTTAATCATTAGTGACTCTAATCTTCATGTAGATTGGGATAGTTAGCTTGCCAGAGGAAACCACAAGGAAGAATTCAGAATATATTCGGGGTGGTTTCCTAGAACAATATAATATGGTTCTGGTGATATCAGTTTTAATATGTGATGTCAGAGTAAAAGATTGCCCCCAGAAACCTGGTGGAATCTTGTGTTTGGTTTGAGAGGGAAGTATTTGGGTCAAAAACAATTGTGCTTGCCTTAAATAAGGCTGATTACAAAGGACTGAGGGTGGATCTGGCTGGAGTGCACAAAAAGACAGGAGTTCAGCAACAAAGAAGCTTCAGGAACAATGGCCGATGTTTAAGAAAATAGTTTGCTGTAAGCCACAAAGACATATTCCACAGAGGAAGTTAAAGATAGCATCAAATTACAAGAAAGAAAAACAGCAGGATGAAGGGTTTTGGCCCAAAACCTTGACTTTTCAGCTCTTCTGATACTGTCTGATCTGCGCTTTTCTCGTCTCATGTATAGACTCTGGCTTGCAGCATTTGCAGTCCTTATTGTCTCCATGGACATTAAGGGCTTCTCTAAATATATACAAAAGGAAGAGAGAAGCCAACTGGAACTTAGGGCCCCTAAAGAATGAGGCTGGGGAAATAATAATGGGGAACAAGTAAATGGCAGAGAAGTTGAAGAAATACTTTGCATCAGTCTTCACAGTACATTCCAAATATATTCCAAAATTGCTGAATTCTCAAGACATAAGGAGGAAAGGAAATAAATACACTAAGTATCAAGAGAAAAAGTGCTAAGGAAATTAATTTGGGGTGAAGACAAAAGGTCCCCTGCACTGATGGAATGAATCCTAGGATATTCAAGGAAATAGCTACAGAGATGGTGGATGAGCTCCTAGCATGGTGGCTCAGTGGTTAGCACTGCTGCCTCAGTGCCAGGGACCCGGGTTCGATTTTTTTCCCCCCTCGGGCGACTGTCTGTGTGGAGTTTGCACGTTCTCCCCGTGTCTGCATGGGTTTCCTCTGGGTGCTCCGGTTTCCTGCCACAGTCCAAAGATGTGCCTGCTAGGTGGATTGGTCATGCTAAATTGCCTGTAGTATTCAGGGATGTGTAGATTAGGTGGGTTATAGTGGAGTGTGTCTGGGTGGGATGCTTTGAGGTTCAGTATGGATTTGTTGGGCCGAAGGGTCTGTTTCCACACTGTAGGGATTTTGTGATTATGATAAAATCTGGAAGCATGCTTGTGCACAACGGACTTCCGCAAACATTATGATGATAATGACCAGAATGTATTTTGGTGATACTACTTGAACCTGAAAAATGAGCCAGGCCACTCCACTGCTTCTATTCACACTGGTTCCATGGGAGCCTCTGTATCTACCTGAGTCAACAGATTCTGTTTAGTGTCTCATCTAAAATACAACACCTCTGTCAGCATAGCTCTCCATCAATAGTGGACTGGATTGTCAGCTTTGATTTTTGTGCTCAAAACCTGAAGAGGTACTTGAACCCAGAATCTTAAGATCAGACTTGGGTACTGGCATTTTGTCCACTGTTGACAAATGGGAGAAGTTTTTAACGGAAATTTCTGTGCTGTAGTCCCAAAGAAGCTTCATTCCTAAGATTAAAGGACTTAAGTTTTAGGAGATTGTGGAAAAGGGAATTTATTTCAAGATTTGTGGACAAAGTTGGAATGGCTTCTTTAAAAGTGGTCATTGAAGTTCAATGCACATTGGAGGTTTATTTAAACAGCTTCCTAGAAATCTCATCCCTAGTAATATTTGCTTTGCTGTGGATCGTATGGGAGCTGTTTTTGTACAATGGTTTGGAGAAGTTGTAGTTTTTTTGGCAGCATCTGTGGAGGAGAAAACAGAGTTAATGTTTCGGGTCCGGTGACCCTTCGTCAGAACTCAAAGGACCCTTCTGAGGAAGGATCACCGGATCCGAAACGTTAACTCTGTTTTCTCCTCCACAGATGCTGCCAGATCTGCTGAGATTTTCCAGCAACTTTGTTTTTGTTCCTGACTTACAGCATCCGCACTTCTTTTTGGTTTTTATTTTGTAGTTAGGTTTTGCTTCAATTGAGCAAACAAAATTTAAAAAGTAGTTGCTTAAGAACAAGCTAAGTTGAGGGGGGAAAAAAATCCTTCAAGAATACCCCCTACATCGGTCAAGAGTGATCCCTATTTGTTTGTTTGAATGTGATTAAAAGAAAATCTTGAAGCTTGTTCAGAGAATACAACTGTATCTGCCAGACTTCAGAGACGTGTGATGAGTAACTTTACCACATGTGCAAGAACATCAGAGTAACAGCTTTTATAAAATCCTACACTGCACCCTTTTGCCTTCAGGAGTAAACAAATGGCTAAAGTTGTTTTCCAGAGAGTCAAACTCAAAGGAATCTCTTTTTTTTTTTTTTTTTTTTCTCCCCTCTATCTCTGTTCCTGAAGTGTGTGTTGGTGTTGTTTGGGATATTTTAGAGCTAAGCATTTATTACTAACTAGGTTAACTGATTATTGAATGTTTTGTTTCAAAAGCAATAATTGTTTAATTTGAAACCTGGTTGATCAGTTTTGTTTAAAAACTGATTTATTGTGTATAATTGGTCAAGGTGGTAACTGTAAAAAGTTATTTTGTGCTGTGACTAGAATGAGGAATAGTGAGACTACAGTAATTCCTCCAACCTGAGCCAAAACTGCACCCTTCTCCATCTCCGTGATGTCTGCACTCTTGCAGTTCTGGTCTTTGCATCTCGATTTTCATCACTGCACCATTGGTAATCTTGTTCATAGTTGGCTAGGCACTGAGCTCTGGAATTTTTTCCTCCTAACCCTTTTACTGTCTCCTTTAAATTTACATCTTTGTTCGAGCATTTGGTCACCTGTCTAAATCTCTCTCTAAGTTGATGCCACCTTTTGTCTGATAACGTTCCGTTTAAACTTGCAGATGTTCCTACTACATTAAAGGCAATATATTAAGTTGATTCCCCATGCAATGTAGATTGGAAACTGGCCACTCCTGATATCTTTGTATTGATTCTTTCTCTTTTTCTGCTTCTGTGCCCTCACATGTCTTTGCTCTTCATCCTTTTTAAAGGAAGTCTGGTGTGTGTTATGACATTTCATCAGGAATGGAGTCAGTGATGTCTCTTGTATATTTGGGTGGAAGTTATGCTGAAATACAACTATTAGCCGTTCTCTTCTGATCTCAACTTTCATATACTGTCTTCCCACTCATTATGAATCTAACTTGTTTCGTCTTGCTATTCTTGCTTCTCTCCCACTCTGACTAGCATTTCTACCCAAAAGTTTTTGTTCTTGAGTTACCCACTCGATCACGCTTCTTTGCTGCACTACCACTGACTGCAACGTTAGCCGCCTTTTGTTTTACGGCGTCAAGAGACCCAACCACTTGTGGTTAATTAGGTTATTTCTTTGTTTCCTTCTTCCTCTTGCAGAAACCCCTCTCTTTCTTCTTAGAGGCCTTGTTTGCTTTCAATAGGCAATTTCTTTGAAATCAAGTTAAAGTAAGTGATTTAAAAAGTGGGTCTCCTTCAGTCATTATCTCAGTACACTTTGCATGATTTTCTGTAAAATCTCCATGTGAATATAGCAACATTATAAACATAGTACAGCACTGTCAACAAGTGTAACAGTTATTGAAATATTTGGGTGTTTGCAACAAAATGTACGTACTAAATTTCCATATATAGACATATGTAAAACTAAAGCCAATAATGTCTCCTGTAGAGTGCCTCACACGGTCTAAAATTCTTTATTTTTACTTGAGATTTTTGTTTAACATAAAACGAATCTAAACTTGGCTTTAATGCACTTAGCATAATCACATAAGGAAACTGAAATTACTGATTAGGGGTTTATTGGAGGTTTTCTTTTATATTGCCACATGCTGGAAAAACCTGTAACCTCTATTACAGTGCTAAAATTGAAAAAGAGAAACGGGAGCATGCAAAGCAGCATGGGATGATTCGGACTGAAATTACAGGAGCTGAAATAGCAGAAGAAATGGAAAAGGAGCGACGGGTCTTTCAGCTCCAGATGTGCGAGGTTAGCTATGTCTGTATCTATGTATATAAATGAATTTGCCTTTGTACGAAACCTCTTTGTATGACTTGGGTTTGTGGCAGACAGCAGCAGCTTTTTCTGTGCAATTTTTTTTTAAGTTTTCATGTTAACATTTTACCATGTAAATGCTATAGTATGGATTTTCCACACTTGCTGATTTTTGTTTTGACCTGATTTTGGAGTGTGGTGTTCCTTGCTTGATGATTTTAAAACTTATTTTGAAGTGACTTTCATTCGGTAGATGCGTTCCCGGAGTTGCTGGCACTTATTTGAGTCTCTCACCAACTTAGTTAATCATCTATAATACTTTGAACCTTGGGCCACAAGCTCTGATCCGACCCACCTTATTTGTTTACTTTTCATACTGCAGTGGATGGTTTCAAGTTTAGATTTATGCCAGATCTGCATGGGCTATTCTTCATCAATGTTGCTGTACAACAGGAGTAAACAATTGGCTAAAGTTGTTGTTTTCCGGAAAGTCAAACTCCAAGAAATCTGAGCCCGAAACATCAGCTTTCCTGCTCCACTGCTGCTTGGCCTGCTGTGTTCATCCAGCTGTACGCCTTGTTATCTCTGTTTTAAGGTGTATTTGTTCTATCTCCTATGCCTGGCTAAACCTCATTCCTCATTAGCTCCCTTGACAGCAATATGTCTTTTGGCCACATTCAATCCCAAAATGGGAAAAATCTGTTTATCTTTCATTGGGTACAACCACAAAATGCAAAATAAGGGAGGAAAAAGAGAAGCAGGAAAAAAAACAATGATTACAAGAAGATGACGAGAAGCAACACTTTTAAGACTGTAAACACAAAAATAGGAGAGAAGTTCAAATCACAGGCACTTGCATCCCTGAAATTTCTGAGTGGTACATATGTGGAATGGGCTGCCAGAGAAAGTGGTTGAGGCAGGTACAATAGTAACATTAAAAAACACTTTGGGATGGGAAGGGTTTAGAGGGATATGGACCAAATGCAGGCAATTGGAACTAGCTGAGTGGGCACCATGGACCACTTGGGGCCAAAAAGGTGACCGCTTTGCAGAACATCTGCATTCTGCCTGCAAAAAAGATCCTGAGGTTCCAGTTGCCTGCCACTTTAACACGCCACCCTGTTCCCTGGCCAACATCTCTGCCTCAGGCTTGCTGCAGTGTTCCAGCGAAGCTCAGCACCAGCTGGACGAACAACGTCTCATTTTCCACTCGGGGACCAAGCACTCCTCTGACTCAATAGCAAGTTAAATGTTTTAGGGCCTAAACTCTCCCATGCCCTAGCCCACACATCAGGCCTTGTTAACTCAGTCTGCCATTACACACTGACTATTTTTAGTCACCTAAGAGTACCCATTAACAGCTATTCACCCACTGAGCCAGATTGTTATCAACTCGCTTGTCTATCCAACTGCTGTTCACTCTCTTTCTTTGGGCTCTATCCCTATGTAACATTTACTCATTACCCCTTCCCCACCTTATCTCCTGCAGATAAACAGGCATTTTCCTAGCTACCATTGGTTCTGAGGCAGGGTCATCAGACCTGAAACGTTAACTCTGATTTTTCTTCACGGATGCTGGCAGACCTGCTAAGCTGTTCCAGCAGCTTCTGTTTTTTGGGCCTAAGGGCTCGTATCCATGCTGTATTACTGTATGACTCTATGACTCGAAATGTGAGAACAGCACACAGTTAAGGGTAGACCCGTGGGAGATTGTTTACCAGGTGTGCATCACTATATTAGAAATCTTGACCTAAAGCAGTCTGTCTGAGTCATTCCCAAAATGGGAAAATCTGGTTACTTCCATTTTTTCATTCATCTTTTGCAAATGGTGAAAAATAGATCCTTATGGTAGTTACTTTGTTTATCATTAGAAACCCATTACCCACCATTTTGCAGCACGCCATTTGTACTCAGTGATGCATCGCTTTGACATTTCTGTTTAAAAGTTTAATCAGCTTATTTCTGAAGTTCCTTCTCTTCAGTGCTTGATATATTCATGAGTTTTGAGGTAAAAATTGTTTGAGTGGACAGCATTTCACTTCAATAAATCGCTTATCCTGCAACATAAGTAATTGTAATGGATGTTACTATTGCTGATTCTATCATGACAGTCAGTTATGAATTAATGTAAAAAATTAACTCCTTATTGGCATAATGCAGTTGTTGTTTGTAAGGCATGTGCATAATTAATTGTTAGCACTGCAGTGCTGAGAAGACTGATTTTTCAGAATTAAAAATGTTCTGTTTTTTTTGGCTTTCCCTTACCTAGTATCTCATTAAAGTGAATGAAATCAAGACAAAGAAGGGTGTGGATCTGCTCCAAAATCTCATCAAATATTACCATGCACAATGCAAGTAAGTTTTTTTTTTTTTTTTTAAATAAAATTCTCTTTATTTTGTCTTGCAGTCTTTGTGGATCAGCAATGACACCAGGTATAATCGGCCTACTGCATTTAAAAAAGACTGATTCGGTGCTAGTATTTTGTATGTATGACAGATGGCATTTGCTCATGTCTATATTCCTACATTTACAGTTGTGATTGCACTTCAAAAATATTTAATTGTCTGTCTATAGAGTTCTTTGGGAAGTGTGGAAGTTGTGAATTTTGCTTTTATATAGCACCACTTCTTTTCTTCCTAAAGTCCCAGGTAGTAAAGAAAACAAGTAGTGAAATCCTCAGTGTTTTTGAAAATTTAAAAGCTCAGTGCTAGAAAAGGTTGTTTTTGTGTACAAAAATTAAGCTTATTTTAAATTTTGAAATGATACTGGTAAGAATTAGTGATGAGAAGAATAAATGCAGGAAGCAGTTGTTGAGCTTTGATTTTTAAAAAAAACTGAAGCTTCTAGGAGGAAGAAATAGCTGAAGGAGGTGAAAGGTTGCATGATTTTTTCCAGGGACGAAATAAAATAAAAATAGAAGACTCTGACAGTTCCAGTGTAATGAGATAAAATGAAGATCATGATTTATTGAAGGAAAGGTATAGGAGATGTCAGAGTAGCTTAGAAAAATTTTTCATGTTGTACAAAAGGTTTCATTTGAGAACCTTATTAAAATGATTCACATTTAATTAAATACTGTCATCAATAAAATGATGGAAAAGACTGCAAGAATTTGAAAAGTTCAAAGACTCATCAGCAATCACTTGCTAATGAGTATGATTCCACTTAGGAAGTTCTATGGGTCCTTGTGTGACTGATCCTGATCCTAGAGGTACATCTCTGGCTATATATTTGGCAGATTTCTGCGAGGTGGAAGTGGTCCTTGGTCTTGAGATCATTGGCATTCCTTTCTCCAGTTCCTTTTTTATACTTCCTGTTGCTAACAGCATTCCTTAAGAATTATATTCCTTTGTACAGGAGTTTCCTCCAATTGGTTTCTCCCAGTTGAGGGTCTCCCACGCTTCAACATCTATGTCGCATTTCTTGAGGGAAACTTTCAGGGAACCTTTTGAAATGCTTCTTTTTGTCCTTCTCTCATTTGCATGTCTTCCTTGAACTGGGCAAAGAAGATTGCTTTGGCAGTCAGAACTCTGGCACCCTAAGCAAGTGGCCAGCCCAGCAGAGTTGGTTTTGAATGATCATGCCTTCAGTGTTGCTGATGTTAGTATGTTTGTCTCAGCTGATGCGGAGAATCCATCCCAAATATCTTTGGTACTTCTTGAGGTGGCGTTATATATGTAATCCAAGTTTCAGCCACAGAGTCTGAAGGATAATTGCCTTATACACCAGAATCTTGGTTTCAGCATGGATATCACAGTTCCCCAAGACTGTCTCCTTGGGGTCTGAGGTGGCCCTCAGGTTGGATGTGATGTTCAATCTCTGCATTGATGTCAGCTTTATATGAGAGGTAATGTCTAATGTAAGCGTAATGTTCCATGTTTGGGTTGATCTGTACAGAGGGATGGACTGGAACTTGACCTGGGATGGGTTGGTAATGGATTTGAGTCATCCTCCATTTGATGCTGAGACCAATTCTTTGGTACGTTTCTGTGAAGGCATGAAGCGAGGCCTGAATTGTCTTTTCCCCAAGAGAGCAGAGATGACATTGTCATCTATATAATGTTCCACAAGCAAAGTCAGTGTCATTTTTTTGGATTTAAACTGGTTGTTGAGAAGCTTTCTGTTCATACTGTAGACAGTACCCACACGATCTGGAATCTTGTCTTGGACAGGATGAAGAATGGTGGTGATGAAGATGGAGAAAAGGGTGGGGGTAGTGATGCATCCCTGCTTGACCCCTGTTTTGACCTCGGGAATCCTTCATATTGCAGTTGGTGAGGAAGGTCACTGACATCTTGTCATGGATGAGATGGAGGCTGTTGATGGATTTCACTGGATGGCCTGCCTATGACCGGGTCTTTCATAGCACTTCCTGATTAACTGAATTAGAAGCCTTGGTTGGATTGATGAAGGCCATGAAGAGTGGGTGCTGTTGTTCCTGCCATTTCTCTTGGGTTGCTAAGCAGTGTAAATCATGTCTATAGTTCCACAGTTTGGAAGACACTAGTTTTCAAGAAGAATTTCCCCAGACCACAAGAAAGCGACTGGTGAAAATTCTGATGCTTAACTTCCAAACAATGAAAAGTAGGGAGATTCCTCAGTAGTTTGCATAGTTCACGGACTCCTATTTTGAAGAGGGTGGTGATGGCAGAGTTCTTGGGATTGGCTGGGATTTCTTCTATGTCCCAGATTTTCAGGAACAGTTGATGGAGATGACAGGTAAGCTCTGCTTCAAGTTTGAAAATCTCAGCTAGAATCCCAATATTCCTGTGTGTTTTCAATTTCTCATGTCTCTCTTGGCAACTTCAACTTCTGCCACATTAGGTGAGAATTTAAGTCCATCTTTGGGAATTTGGGGGATTTCCTCGAATAGGTCCTCATTGATGTTTATATTGCTGTTTAGGAGTTCTTCTCACCTTTGGATGCTTATGTTTTCTCTGCTTGTCAAGAGTTCCAACCTTACTCTGGACTGGTTTGAGGCCAAAAGTGTTAGGTCTCCTATATTGCCTTGCTGGCACTGAAGAAACCCCAGGAGTTGTGCTTGTCATTGAGATGCACAGCACAGAAACAGACCCTTCATCCAACTTGCTCATGCTGACCAGATATCCTAAATTAATCTACTTCCATTTGCCAACATTTGGCCCATATCCCTGTAAAGCCTTCCTATTCATATACCCATCCAGATGCCTTTTACACGTTGTAATTGTACCAGCCTCTATCACTTCCTCTGGCAGTTCATTCCGTACACGCACCACCTTCTGTGTGAAAAAGTTGCCCCTTAGGTCTCTCTCAAATCTTACTCCACTAACCTTAAAGCTGTGCCCTCTAGTTTTGGACTCCAACCCCTACCCCACTGTTGGGAAAATACCTTGACTATTCACTCTATCCATGCTCCTCAGGATTTTATAAACCTCTATAACGTCGTGCCTCAACCTCTGACACTCCAGGGAAAAAGAACCCCAGCCTAGGCAGCCTCTCCCTATAGCTCAAACCCTCCAGCCTTAGCAACATCCTTGTAAATCTTTTCTGAACCCTTTCAAGTTTCACAACATCTTTCCTATAACAGAGACCAGAATTGCATGCAGTATTCCAAAAGTGGCCTAACTAATGTCCTGTGCAGCCGCAACATGACCACCTCCTGTATTCAATGCACTGACCAATAAAGGCAAGCATACCAAACAGTGCCTTCACTACCTTGTCTACCTGCAACTCCACTTTGAAAGAACTATGAACCTGCACTCCAAAGTCTTTACTCAGCAACATTCCCCATTACCTCACCATTAAGTGTATAAGTCCTGCCCTGATTCGCCTTTCCCAAATGTAGCACCTCACATTTATCAAGATTAAACTGCACCTGCCACTCCTCAGTCCATCGGTCCATCTGATCAAGATCCAGATGTACTCTGAGGTAACCTTCTTTGCTGTTCACTACGCCACCAATTTTGGTGTAATCTGCAAACTTACTAGCCTTGTCAGCAAGGAGTTGCAGTTCCTTCATTTTGTCAGTCCACCACTGGTTTTTGATTTCCCTCATTCTTCTTTATAACTCAGCATTTACTGTTTAATGAATTGTCTCTTCGCCTCACTGGTGAAGTTTTGCCAGTGTGGAGAGCTTTCCTCCTCTTGATAAGGTCCTGGATGATGTGGTCACGCTCATCAAACCAGTCTTGGTGTTTCCTGGTCTTGTAGCAGATGTTTTCTTCACAGCAGGAGATGATGGCTGTCTTCAGCTTTTTCCAGATTTTCTCCACTCCATTAAAATGAACTGTTTGAAGATTTTTATGGAGATAGTGTTGGAGGACTGTTAGAATCTTAAAATGTTTCTGTAGTGTTTTACTTCAGGGTTCCTCAGTGTATTTTCAATGTGTAGTCTGTTGTAGAGTAGGGATGTGTATTTTAAAATAAAATCAGAATGAAAAGTTACTCTAAAACTTTAGATGTATGTTTTATGTAATAAACAATGTGAAAATTGTTAAATCTGTGCGTATGTGCTTGTAGAAGCCATACATTTTGAGAAATGCATTTTACTGTTGTGGATTCTGACAATATTGAATGTTACATATTAGAAAAGTACCTTCAACATTTTTGAAGTTGCTTTGATTTCTAATCCCATAATCATGTATATGTTGCAGTTAATACATCACATAAAGGAAATATTTTACCCAGGGTCAACAAGGTTGAGCATTGCTGTGGAAAGAAACATGCGAATGAAACTTTTCATCTTTGACTCATCAGGGTGCAATTGCAAGAATACCAAATTTTACAGGCAACAACAATTATCTCTATTAGAAAAGGGCTCTGCTTGTCTGGCTAGTGAACTATGATTCTTCATAGAGGCATTGCGATGGGCAAAACATGAGCAAGAGTTAAGTGCCAACTATTGGTTTAAATTCAAACCAGACAAGTTGACTCGTGGGCAATGTGCCAGCAACAGTGGTTCTCCAAACTACTCTTTTAAAAAACGAGCAACGTGTGGATATGTTCTTTGTGTTTGCAAAGGGCATTCATGTATGAATATATGATGCAAGCCTGACTGATTATCTTAAGTTTGTAGTTACTATATTTCTTCACACAAAATAAACTTGTTTCACGAATGCTATCCAATGGTTGAGTTTCGCAAGCATGGGATGGTGTGTTATAATCTGTCCTCGCTTATTACAAACAGCTGAAGGAATGCCAGTCGTTGGGATGTAGGGAATCCCATCATGTGAAATGGCTAGTTTCGCCTGTTGCTCAAATATTCTCTGTGGCAACACCTCTGCCAGTCAGAGCCCTACAAATTAAAATTGGGACCTTATGCAGTATAAATTGTTATTCCTTTAAAGATTTGGTACATGTGATTCTATCCTAATGAGTTAAAGATAAAAAGCTTTGACAAAACTTTTTTTTTTGGGCATAACTGAAGTTTCTGTATTATGTAGCAGCTATCAACAAGGTTTATCCACTGTAAGAAAGAGAATTTCAAAACTTGCATTTTACAATTTTGCGGAAACAGACTGACCAAGCCTGCAGTGATTACAGTTTTGATCTATCATACAGTACTAATTCTTAAATGTAATTTAAGTTTTTTTCAGGATGGCTTAAAAACAGCAGATAAACTGAAACAGTATATTGAGAAACTGGCTGCTGATTTATACAATGTAAGTAATTAGTATGCCTAAATTTATCACAGAATAACCGTTTTCCGCTACATTTATTGCTTTCAATTTTCTACATTTGTTATTAATTGTCTACAATTTACTGTTTATCATTTACTACTACTGAGTTAGCTGTGCAAGCTAACCTCATAGTTTTAGTCAGTTAACAGTTTCTCAAACTAGTATGTTTATATTTGTTATTATTGTATCATTTTGTGTTATGCTTCAGTGGTTAGAATTCATACCTTAAGGTGAAGAGGAAGATTTTAAGGGTTTCTGCTATTATTGAGCACTGTTAAAACTGAAATCTCAAATTGATGTAACAGAAAAGCAAAAATTTGTATTCAAAATTTTAAAGTATAAACAAATCATTTTCCATAGAAATAGTTGCTAAACATCAAAGATCTCCTTTTAATGGGCCATTTCAGAAAGGCAGTGTTTTGCTGAAGTGCAAAAAGTCCATGATTTTGCGTTTGAAGTGGTTACATAAACTCAACTGTAGTGGGCACTAGAGATACCATAGGGATCCAGTACAGAGCCATTAATGTGGGAGAGTAAAATCATTTGAAGCTGCTCGCTTTGTTCCTGATCAACACTCTCTCCTGCCGAAAGATGTATCCACGTGCAAACCAGGTGAGCAATGGTTTTGGGCATGGCTGTGATGTCCCTGTGGAATGGCAACAACATTCGCTGTCTAACGATTGAAATGAAGTAGCAGTTGACAACTGGCACAGATGAAGCTGTATTTCAAAGTGAAACAGTGGCTTCAGGAGGATAGCAAGCAAATGAAAAATAGAATTGAAGGTTGTTCAACAAGATTCTGCTGTCTGTTTTTTTAAGAACTAGCTTTCAATGGGGGGGGAGAAGAAAAGAGTATGGTGATATTAAATTTTGAAGTCTATTTCTAAAGTACAGCTGGTTGCTTTTTGTAAACAGATTACTTTTTTGCTTACAGGAGTTACCGTTGCTGACTAACTGGCATTTATTGCCCATAAGGGGGTGACGATGAGCTGCCTTCTTTGAACACTGTGGTCCTTGGGTGTAGATACTGTCATGTTGTATTGAGTATCACCAGGATATTGGTGTGCGTGTATATAGATTCTTGAAATCAACTAAGCAGGTAGATAGGCTTGTTAAGAAAGGGTATGGGATACATGTCTTTATTAGTCAAGGCATTGAATACAAGAGCAGGGAGGTTATGATGGAGCTGTATAAGATGTTGCTTATGCCACAGCTGGAGTACTGTGTGTAGTTCTGGTCACCACACAATATATAGGAAAAATGTGATTGGACTGGAGAGGGTGCAGAGGAGAATTACCAGGATATTCTGCAGGTTGGAGTGTTTCAGTGTGAAGAGAGACTAGATGGCTGGGATTGTTTTCTTCAGAGCAGAGAAAGTTGACAGGAGACCTCATTTGAGGTCTCCAACGTTGAGGTGCATAGAAAGCAACAATAGGGATAAACTGTTCCCCTTAGAAGGGTCAGTTAACAGTAACTACCTTTTAAGGCAAGGGGCAGGTGTTTGAAGTAATTTAAGGAGAAATATTTTCACTCAAGGTGGTGGGTATCTGGAAATCACTGCTTCTAAGAATGGTAGAGGCAGGAGCCATTACAGCATTTAAGAAATATTTAGATCAGCACTTGAAATGAGATAATGTACAAGGCTTTGGGCCAAGTGCTGGGAAATGGGATTGGAGTCAATAGGTGCTTGATGACTAGTGCTGACATGATGGACCAAAGAGCTCTTCTATGGTGTAATACTCTCTGTACCCACTAGCTGTTGAGAAGGGAGTTCAATAATCTTAACCCTGATAGAGTGAAGGAATGAACATCTAGTTCAAAATTTAGATGCTGTGTAGCTTGAAGGGTAATTAGCAAGTCATGTTCCCATGCATTTACTGCCCTTATTGTTCTATGTGGTAGAGATTATCAATTTTTAAAGGTGATTTTAAAGGATCCTTGGTTTGGTGTTATAATGCAACTTGAATTGCTGGCACTGTCTGTCTGTGATAATGGATGGATGCCAGTCAAGTGGGTTGCATTGTCTAGCATTGTGTTGAACTAGTTGAGTATCGTTGGTGTTTGTACCTAATCCAGGCGACTGGAAAGTATTCCATACTCTGGCTTGTTTTGTGCAGATGGTGTTGAGACATTGGGAGATGGGAGGTGAGTTTACCTGCTGTCATACCCCAAGTATTTATATTATTCGCCTGGTCTGTTTCTGTTTCTGGGTAACATCCAGGATGATGGTGGGAGATTAATGGATGGTAATAACATTTAATGTCGAGGGAAAATTGTTAGATTAACTCTTTGGCAAATGGACAAGGGCTGTTTCAGTATCTCAGGAGTTGTGAATGATGCCAATGCTCTAATCCTCAGCAAACATCCCTACTTACCTTCATGATGAAGGTAAACTCATTGGTGAAGCAAATGATTGATCATCGGACTCGACACTACTATCTCGTGGAAATCCTGAAGTGGTGTCTTGGGACTAAAATTTTTGACCTCCAGTAACAACAGTTATCTTCCTTTGTGCTAATCTTACAAAGGTCTCTTAATTTAAAGTTGTTCCTATCAATTAGAAAAAAATTGTATGGTATTGAGGTACCCCACTGTAGATATTTGAATTCGCAACTACATGTGAAATTTCCTCCCATGCCTTAATGGGCCCCACTCTACGCTCAGATTCATCTTTGAAACTGAATAGTTAGATGAGCTCCCTTTCCTTGATACCTTAGTTGAGAAATCAACCAGGGAATTCTCCAGTGTTGTCTATTGCAAACTGGTGGTAATATGCATTGGTGTTTGTTCAGTTCCACATACTTTAAGGTTTGGCTTTAGTACACATTGAAAATAGGGCCTAAACCATTTGCTCATGTAGCAACTTTGCTGAAATTGGGTATGTTAAATCCACCCTGCTTGATAATAGTTACTGTGATCAGATCATTTCTGGCTGTATGTCATGCAAGTTCATAACTGGGCCTAAGGCTGTCAATTTTGCTACTGAAAAATCCCCAGTCTACCTCAAAAGTTATCTCAAAAATTTGAACAACAGATTAAGCTAGATGTTTCACACGGCAATTGTTTAGTTGTAGCAAGTGGTGTTCACCTCCAACAGGATGCTGCCATCAAGCCACATAGATGTTCTGTCAATCACACAGCTGAGTCATCTGACATACGAATTTCACATCCAGTGTGATGCTAGCCATATAGGCCTCATATTCCAAAGACTGGTGGATTAGATCAAATACTTATCTCTTCAGCTCCTCACAACAAATAAGTTATTGACTGTACCCAACCAGCTTGCATTTTCAAAACTCAAATCATGTGTCCATTGTTAGATGTGATTCTGCAATTAGGTAGTATTTGCCACGTAACCCTGAATATGTGAAGAATGGCATGTGATGAATGAATTTGGGATTATCGATCAACCTGTCAGCTTGGCACACTGGCATTTATCGGAACACACACCGTGCATGTTACAACTTGACAAAACAGGTTCCAGCCATTTTCTGGTTCATTTCTCAGGACAATGGCTTTATCAATCGGTCCACTTGCCAACCAGTCAGTAGCCTCCTTTTTTATAGTGTTAATGTTGCTTTCCTTTAACTTTGGCATTTCTCGTGAATTGTCCTGGTGCATGCAAGCTGGAAGTTTCAACAAAATGTAATCTTTAGCTACAAGAGGAATTATAAATGGTATAATCAGAGCTATATATAATTAGAAAGAGATACTGAAAGACCAAGTGACTGGGTGATGTTGAGGTAAATGAATTTCACCATGAGCAAATATGAGGTCATATACTTGGAACCTGGAAAAGATACACCAGAGTAGTCTCTGATGAATGACACATGATTGAGGTCCAAAGAGACTTGCGGATCCAGGTGTACACATCATTTAGAATTACATAAACTGGTGTAGAAAATGATCAAAATGTCTGAAATGCTGAAGTTTCTATCAAGAGGAATAGAAATCATATGGGTCAAAGTCATGCTTCTTGCACTTAAGCTCTGGTCAGGTCACAGCTGCAATGCTGAGTAGTTCTGCCACCACATTTTGGACGTATTTTCCTTGGGAAGGAATGCAGCGAAGATTTAAGTGAACTTTGCCTGGAATTTAAGGCTAAATCACAAGGAGTGATTACACAAACAAGAGTTGTCTTCCTTGAATTTAAATGACTATGCAATGATTTTGTCAAATTCTGCAAGACATTGAAGAGGGCAGTTTGGGGGAAACTAACTCTGCATATTGCGGAGTCTACTACAAAAAACAAAGTCTGTTGATTAGAGCCGGAACTTTCAAGAATGAAATTAGGAATTATTTTTCTGTGCAAATGGTGGTAATTACGTGGAACTCGAACACATTTGATGTTGAATCAATCCTTTGAAAATAGAGATTGATCTTTTCTTAGCTATAGCTAAGAAGGGATATGGACATAGTCAGATTATAGATCTTGCTGAAAGGCTGAACAGGTTTGAGGGGCTGACTAACGCATTCCTGTTCCTGTATTGTTAATCACATAAAATTGCCCCCAGTGCAAGTTCACCTCCCCTCAAGGGGACCAAAATTGTACGTGTTACTCCTGTTGCTGAATAACTAGATCAAGAGAGCTCATTATTCTAGTTTCTCGGACAGCTTGTCGAGCAGGAGAGAGGTATGCCAGCTAATGTAGGCTATGCTCTGACATCGTCCTTTTAATTGTGTACGTCAAGGCAAATCAGATAGATTTCAATCAAATGTTAGCACCTTGAATGAAAGGTTGTCCCTTTTAATGTGGAATCCTCCAGCACCGATTTGTTTGTTTCAGTTTTTGTAGAAGCAGTGTTCATTTTGGGGGAAAAAAAAATCAGTTTCCAACATAATTGTTAAAGATTCCAAGATTTTCAATTATGCAGACCTTAAAGTGAAGGAAAATAGCACACAAAATTTGGAAAAGGTGCTCATTCAAATTTCCCCATTTTTTGTTTCACACCTTTTCCAAATTCTGAAAAGAAGCCTGAAATTGCGTCGATTATATCACACACAAAGCATTCTGTAGCACTGGTTACTGCACTTTGACTTTGATTTTTAAAAAATATATTAAGAAAAGGAGTGCAAATTATCATAGGTACAGGCAGTCACCAGGTTGTGAAAGGGTTCAGTCTTGAGTCCATTTGCAAGTTAATTTGTGTGCAAGTCGGAATACAATCAAGAACAGTTTAAAATAACCATTATAAGTACAGTAAATGTTTGTATATTGGATCTTTAAAATTTAACCACTGTATGAGATTACTTTCATAAGTTGATATTCGTAAATTGGGGATATAAGTAAAGTTTGGAGACGTCTACTTCATGGTTTCGTGATAAAGTTAAGGTAACATCTTTTGTAGTAGACAATGTATTAAATGGTTACAGATTAAATATTACCATATTCCCACTGACCTGTTCACCATCTAACTTACTTTCCTGCTGTCCATATAAGATGATATTGTTGTATGCTGCAATGATTTGGAGCACCACTTTTTTTTTTGATGGTGGGGCGATGGAGTGAGTCATGGTGCTGGAGGCTTCCCTGAATATATTCGAAAACACTTTTTAAATAATCTTTCATTCACAGTTTGGTAAAGTAATATTAATCAGGCTCTATAACGTCTGCTAACCTATTACGATCCAATATTTTTCCAGCTGGATCAGAACTTTACTTGCATAAATGGGGAATCTTGAAGTAAGTTTCCAGTAATCAAGTTTGCAATGGTTATGGAAATTTTGTTAGCTAATCTAGATTCAGATATGCGTGTGAACTGCTTTAAAAAAAGTTTTTTTTAAATTTACGCAGTTGATTTATTTGAGATTTAATTTGAAGTACAACATAGGACCTGCGTATTATTAGGAAAAAGCAGGTCAACTTCTATTTTGCATCAACTTTTGATCATGAGGTAAATTACTAAGCTTCAATTTTATTATCTGTCTTTTCTGCAGATCAAGCAAACACAGGATGAGGAAAAGAAGCAGCTGTGTACTCTCCGTGATATGCTCAAATCCTCACTGCAACTTGAACAGAAAGAAGTAAGTGTATTTGGAAAAAGAATTTTAATTTCATAATCAAATTTTCCAGTGTATAGTTGAAGGTTTATTGATTTAACTAATGTATAACAGCAATGCTAGTTGATCATTGCATCTCAGTTTAAAAATTTAGTTAAAACCAGATTAATTTTTGGATAATCTCAAAAATTCTTGCTTTGAAAGCCAGTTCAATTAATGACTTCATTTTTCTCATTGAGTTCTCGACTGAGTATGGCTTGTGAAATATAAGGCTTATGAGTTCAGCTTGCATGCTGACCTACATTGATAGTGTTTCTTTTAAATGTACCACGGATATTGTGGAGATGGATCTTGGTCAAGGATTTGTTTTTAAACAATTTGTTTTTAGTGTAGTCTCATGATTTACATATATATGCTACCTAGATGAATATCCCAGTGTTCCTCAGAAGAATAATTTAAAAATTAGGCTAGGAAAAGCGAGAGATTAGCAAAGGTGACCAAAATATTGGCCAGAATTGAGCTTTATATGAGGAGTGTGTGCTGAGCAGGCAGAAGGAATTAGAATGGTGGCCTGAGAGTTCCATGGGTTTGAGGTCAAGACAGCAGAGGTAAACCTGGTGCTGCTGCAGTGAAGGGAGATGGGTTGTGGGAGAGTGGCCACAAGGACAGTTCAAGATGGTGTTGTCAGAGCTGGAGCTGAGAAGGGCAGGAGCAAGTCATGAAAGAATCCTAAAGCCAAAGACGTACATTACAAGTGAATGATATGGGAAGAATAGGATCCAATGTATATAAACAAGACTACAGAATGATGAGTGATTGCAGTGTGGCTGCAGATTACAACATGAGCAGCAGAGTTTTTAGATGAGTAAACGTATGCGTTAGATGGGAGGCTGGAAAATAAAGAGCTTTGGATTAGTTGAAACTGGTGATAATGTGGATTTCAGCAGCAGATGGTTTGGCGCGATGGTGCATCTTTGTGATGGATGGAATATAGGATCAAACATCTAGCTTGTGTATTGAACTGCCAAGGATATAAACAGTCTGTTTCAACTTCATGCAAGGCTGGACACTCGATAGAATTGGTGACAGGTTCAGAATTAGTGGCAGGTGCCAAAATTTGCAACTTTGGTCATTTTATAGTTTTGTATTGATGGAAATTAAGGCTTATTCAAGGTTGAGCTTTGTGGCAGTAGAGGCACCATACGAGTTTGAGAACTAGCACATTGTTGTATTGAACAAAGGAAAAAAATGTAGTTGCATTTTTGATATCCCAGAGCAACAACACTGAAAACATATCAAGTGGCTTTTATGACAAAAAGATTTTGAATTTCAAAGTATATTTTCTATAGTATAATAAAGTAAACAGTTGGAATTTTTTATTTCTGAAGTTGTACATTATTGAAAAATATCATTTTTAATATTAAAAATGAATAGAATTCCTATTTGCTGAAGTTTTCCGTTTAAATTGAAACTTGATCCAATTGGGGATACCCTTAAAGCTGGATATCAGATATTTCTGGAAAAGTGTAGTTACCTTTTCATTTCATGAAGTATGTGGTGTTAATTTTGTCTTTAATATAAAGCAGCCTTTTGAACAACAGAAGTTAAATTTTGATTGTTCTTCATGTTACTTCTCTTGCATTTAATGTTTTTTTGTGTGCTTAATTTTTCCTCAAACATTTTATACCTAAAAGACACAAGTCTGTGATTTTCCACATGCTGTGTCAAGTTCTGGTCACCCAGTTACAGGAAGGATATTAAACTGGAGAAGGTTCAGAAGAGATTTACCAGGTTGCTACCAGATATGGAACAAAGAACAAAGAAAATTACAGCACAGGAACAGGCCCTTCAGCCCTCCAAGCCTGCGCCAATCCAGATCCTCCATCTAAACCTGTCACCTATTTTCCAAGGATCTGTATCCCTCTGCTCCCTGCCCATTCATGTCTCTGTCTAGATACGTGTTAAATGATGCTATCGTGCCCGTCTCTACCATCTCCGCTGGTAACGCGTTCCAGGCATCCACCACCCTCTGCGTAAAGAACATATCTCCCTTAAACTTTTCCCCTCTCACCTTGAAATCGTAACCCCTAGTAATGGAGTCCCCCACTGTGGGGGGGAAAAAGCTTCTTGCTACCCACCCTGTCTATACCTCTCATGATTTTGTAGACCTCAATCAGGTCCCCCCTCAACCTCTGTCTTTCTAATGTACATAATCCTAATCTACTCAACCCTTCCTCATAGCTAGCGCACTCCATACCAGGCAACATTCTGGTGAACCTCCTCTGCACCCTCTCCAAAGCATCCACATCCTTTTGGTAATGTGGCGACCAGAACTGTACGCAGTATTCCAAATGTGGTCGAACCAAAGTCCTAGACAACTGTAACATGACCTGCCAACTCTTGTACTCAATACCCCGTCCGATGAATGAATGAAAGCATGCCGTATGCCGCCTTGACCACTCTATCCACCTGCGTTGCCACCTTCAGGGTACAATGGACCTGAACACCCAGATCTCTCTGTACATCAATTTTCCCCAGGACTTTTTCAAACCAGGAAGGTTTGAGTTGTAAAGAAAGGCTGAATAGGCTGGGACTTTTTTCATTGGAGCATAGGAAGTTGAGAGGTGACCTTGTAGAAGTTCATAAAATAATAATATAGAGTTAATAGTAATTGTCTCCCCCTAGGATGGGGGATTACAAGACGAAGGAGCACATTTTTAAGGTGAGAGGAGAGAGGTTTAAGAAAAGACATGAGGGGCAAATGTTTTACACAGGGTGGTTTACGTATGGAAAAAAAAACTTCCTGAGGAAGTGGGTACAGTTACAACGTTTAAAAGAAATTTGGATAAGTACATGAATAAAACAGGTGTGAAGAGATATGGGCCAGGAGCTGGAAGGTGGGACTAGTTTAGTTTAGGATTATGTTCGGCACTGGTTGGACTGATAGGTCCATTTCCGTGCTGTATAACTCTATGCCACTGATTGCAAACTGATCCATTCATTTGAATTGATGCATTGAGTGAATGAACCCACTGATATCAACCCAAGGCCCTCTGGCCAGCATCAGTAAGGCTATTTGCTTGTATTCCAGTTAAAGATTTTGTTTAACACTTTCAGTTCTTGTCTAGAATATCTTGGCTTCAAACAAGGAAGCGGCTGACCCACCAAGAACTGAGTTTTTTATTTTCGAGTCTTCACAATGCTAATATCAAGATGGGTTGAATACATTGATGCTAATAGTAAAAAGAAATCATTTGAGTCACTATTTAGAGGACAACTTAGCCTGCAGCTGTAGTCAGCATTGAAATGTGCTTACAACTGTCAAAAGTCATTTCTGTCCAGTTTTGTAAATGTATGCATTACTGTTTTTTTTTCAAAACCGCAAAAAGAAAGCGGCCATTTTTCTATACTGTGAAGTGGCAATAAATGTTTCTTGACTTCCAAATGCACTGCTGTTTTCTTGAGGCCTAGGAAGCTCTTCCATGTGATAAATTAACTGGGTATAGTTTGGAGAACAAAGAATGCATCGCTTGGTAATTTGTTGGCAAGTATTTAAATTAATGTTTCTGAAAGTGCATGCTAAAATTACTAGTGTATAAAAGCCTGTGAAATTTTAATCTTTTGAGCTAATATCTTCCTCCAAAGTTTTTTTCCTTTAAAGTAATTGGTTGACCTGTGTGTATTCCAGGCATTTTTAGTTTGTTTTAAATTTGCATCCTTTGCAGTTTAAAAAATGTGGGCAGTGTTAACGCAATTAAGTAGATGCAGTGTTAAGGGACTTAGGGCTGTTATGGCATAGTTTTGTAGAAAATCCAAACATTGTGTTTGGCTTTGCCTCTTAATCATGCCATCAGTAGGCTAAGATCTTGTTTGCCACACAATGATAGACCTGTTATATTGCAAGTACTATTGTTGATGGATAAGATCAGAAGATGAAGTAGGACATTTTACCCATCCCTGTTTACTTAACAAAATATTCGTAAAAAATCTAGTTTTTCTCCATAATAGGATCCATTATAATTGTTAATAAATCTGATGTCTTTGCCTCTAGCACTTATGAATCTAGTCAAAATATTGAATGCTTTTTGTTTGACTTGAAAAGAACAGTTAGCAGTAGTCACTGAGTAGGAATTAAATTCAACAGAACAACTGACCCTTGGTTATTTTCTTAATTATTTTTTATGTTAACTCAGTTTGCTTGTTTGAATTGGTCGTATAATTGTCCTTCGTTTTAACTTGTGCCTCTCTGCCGTTTTGTATTTGGTGACCCTATAATAATGCTTTGGGTATGACTTCACTTACTTGTTTCAGTATAGTTCTCCTCTTAGATTCTGACTTTTGAAGCCAAAGAAGCACAGTGGTTTGCATTTTCCCACTTTGACTTAATGCTTTTTGAGAGATTCATGGCACCCAGTCCACCATGGCTCTCTGACTTTTCTCACTCAATCTAATTAATTATGCTTCTAGGCTGTGCCACCTTTGTTATGGAGTCATGCAACAGATGAGGCAGAAGTGTTTGCTGATGCTGGGACTTTGGCAGTGTGAACACCAGATTGTCATACTTGAAGCTTAGCTGCACACCACTTTAGATGCAGCAATTCAGGAACTGCCTTTCATTCTGTGATGCTACATCATTATCACAGAGCACATGGGCTGGAGTGGTAAGTTAGCTCTCTGCCTCGCCAACAGATACCTCAATGCTGATGATTGGGGAGGTGTAGAAGAAAGAGTGCTTTTTACCCTGCTGATGGGGAAAATGAGACCAAGCCACCAAACCCAGCCAAACTGGCTTAGTGCTACATACAGGTTAAAATTGAATGTGCTGCAGTACAGAAAGAAGGATATTGATCTTGTGTGCTCCACAAGGCAAGCACCACCATCTTCTCTTTGCTACTTACACTCTGGGCCATCACTCGGCTTTAATTCTGCCACTGCACACCATTCTCACCAAGGCCCATAGGTTAAACTCTCTCAATTGTATGCATAGTGTCCACTCAGTAGCTCATGCTCACTTCATCTTGCCA